CCACGGACACCCCCCCACACACACCTCTGGGTCACTTGCCACGGACACCCCCACACACACACCCCTCTGGGTCACTTGCCATGGACACCCCCCCACACACCCATGAACATTTCCCCACAGCCTCACAAACTTCTGCTGGCTTCCAGGTACCGCTCCTGCCCTGGACCAAGGAGGCGACAGGCGCCCCAGGCAGGGAGGGACAGCTCAGCCACCCCTCGGGGGCGCTTACCTGCCGGCACAATGACTCTGCGCTCGTTCGTGGTCATGTTGGGGGGCGGCACGTGCTTCTCCTCCATGTAGCTGCCGTAGCTCATCCCGACCGCGTCCGGGCCGCTCACCATCTTCCCGCCCTTGGCCACGCCGCATTCGTCGGGGGAGTTTCTGGTGGAGAAGAGACAAATCCGTCCATTCCTGGGGCAACCGCAAACCACGGCGCCCCGGCCTTGCAGGGAAGGCGGGGGGGAGGCGGAGGCTGAGGGGGGAGAAGCGACAAGGCAAATACAGTGCCGTCGGGGACTGAAGGTGCCCCCCCCAAAGTCGGTGTGTTGAAGCCCTAACGCCAACATGATGACCTTTGAAGATGGGGCCCTTCGAGGAACTAAGTTTAGATGAAGGTGTGAGGCGAGGCCAACATACCGGACTAGTGGGTCCTTACGGAGGGCAGGGGACCGGCGAGCTCCCTGCGCCCCGGGAGGACACAGAGACGCCGGCCCTCCCCAACCCAGGCGGAGGGCTCTCCCCAGGCACCAACCCAACTGGCACCCTGACCTTGGACCCCCAGCCGCCAGAACTGTCCTCACAGAATGACTGTCTGTTGTTTAAGCCCCTCGCCGATGGTATTTTGTTAGGGCAGCCTGAGCCGACTAGGACAGCGCCAGGCTCGGGCACAGCGCGGAGCAGGCACGTGGGGAGCAAAGCTGCCACCTGGCTTCTATTTCTTCACCCAAGTCCTCCTGAAGCTGTCATGTCAAAACTGCATCTGTGACAGCTGATTGGAAACACGTGCAGAAAACAGCGAACTGCCGTTTGTTCTCGCTGCGTGACGGTAAACAGGCCACGCACGCAGATGCTGGGGGCGACACTGGCACGCAGATGCCGGGGGCGACACTGGTACGCAGATGCTGTGGGGTGACACCGGCGCTCTCAGAGAGGCTCAGCCTAGAACAACGTTCCTCTTTTTCAAAACCTCAGAAGGAAATCCTTATGCGGAATTTCAAACTCCAATTTCAAGCCAATCTTTAGCTATGTGAGACTCACGATGTCCCAAGCTCAGGTGCCAGCAGGCAGGCAGAGAAAGGGGGTGGAAGCTGGTGCCCCGGGGGTTGGCCCTCCAGGGCCCTGGGGCTGGGGTGTACAGCCAGCCGTGGGGACACAGAAGGGACTCAGCTGCTGGGCCCTGGGAACAGTTCACTAGGCTGCTGTGAATAAGGCGGCCACAGCCATTAGGATATGGACAACCTGCCTTTCTGGGAAAGAAAAAAAGGGAATTTTTTTGAAATTCAAAAGTTATAGGACATGGTAAAATTGTATCTAAAGAGTAAATTCCAAGTGGAAGATCCAGCTTAACCAGGAAACAGAAAAATCCGTCCCATCCTTCTGAGATGGCTAACCCACAGAGGGTTAACCCAGGATCATTGCAGCAAGGGGTCTTGGCATTCATGTTACATCTGTCTCTGGCTGGTTTCTAGAAATTGCCTCTCAAGTTCTACCCTACAGGTGACTTTTCTTCTTCTCAGGAACCCATGAGTCTCCCCTGGATTTTAGATTTCCCTCCCTATGTGGCAGGCCTGAGGTTGCGGGTCTCCTCCACACTGTTGGTGGGAGCTGTGCACCCACCTGGCATGGACTTGACCTTCAAGTCTGAGGTCACAACCATCCAAGGCAGGAGGGCACTCTCTGGGTGGCACAGGGCAGAGGTGGGATGAAGAAGGTCATTCCAGACCCAAAGGTCATAGCAGGGAAGGTGGACAGGAAGGGCAGACCCAGGGGCTGCAAGGCTCTGGACCGTGTTTGTTCAGCATCTGCGAACTTTGAAAATATAGGTTTGTTCTCGGCATCACTTGCTCATGTGTCCGGTGCTGATGGAGGGAGCCCAGGGCCGACCATAAGTGAGGAGCAGTTAACGTCTGTGGATGGAGGTTGCAGCTGGGGCCACCCAGCACTGAGGCTCGACCGCGGGCCGGGAAATACACTGCCCTGGTCCAGGGCATCCTCACAGCTGTACTAACATGAAGGAAATTTAAAAATAATAACAGCCTGCGTTCCCATGGTGCAGACCCGCTATATTTCCAACGCTGCCTACACATGCTTTATTTCCTCTTGAGGCAGTTTTTCCTGGCCTCAAACATTTATCTCTAAAAGACCCATCCTAGTATCAAAACATGGAGTGTCTTCACTTGAGCCTTAGTTTCCTATCCCTTTGGAAAATTCCATCAATTGAGCGGAGCGTATGTTTGGGTCTATTTGCCTCAAGGAGAGAAGTTACTAGGGGAGAGAGTTAAAGGGATTTGGTTCTTTAGGGAAAAGACTAGATGCAACTCAGGAGATGAGCGTAACTCAAGCAACAACTCTAAAGTCCAGGATGAGCACCGTTCCGGGCCAGTCATTCACTCACCCACTTAGACCACTTCTATTGAGCACCTGCCGTATACCAGGCACCCTAAGTTTTCTTCTCCAGCAAGGCAGTTAACTATCTAAAAAGTTAATGGTCAAAGAGATGTACAGAATTATAGAAATAGGGGACTTTTGGGAATTATGGATGCTTCAGACCAATTCTTTCATTTTCTTCTAATTCTTAACAGTTTAATTTCCATATCTGAGGACAAGTGCTCTAGGCATGGATCACAGTAGTTTTCCTATGGTTGTAAAATAGGGCTCCATCAAATCCAGAGATAAGATGAACTATTAAACTGCATTGTCTGGAGCTTTCCAAAACTATGTGTAAGTATTTCAAGTTGGGACAAATTTAGTAAAGTTCCTTTGTTTTCACGTTGTAACCACAAGACATAATTCATCTCACGATGCTTCCTCATCCCTGCTTTCACTGTAAAAACAGAAAATCAGACCCTAATTTCAAAAGTTGCACCTTCAGGACAATGAAAACATAGTCTTTTTTCCATTGTATTTTGTTTTAGTTTCAGAGGAAGACGGATTGGAACTATGTTTTTGATCATTTCAAATAGTTTTTGTAATAAATCTAAGGGAACTCCAACCCCAGGGTGGGGAGAGGGTCACCCATAGGACCACATGCTGGACTCAAAGTAGAAGTTCAACAAATATCGGTTAAAGGGGCCCAAGGTGTTATGTTCTCACTTTTCAGTCACTTCCCCTTCCTTTCATTCTTGGTAATTTCAACAGCAGAAGAGTGGGATCTAATAGTCCTCACAAGAGCACTCTGGGATAGAGAACCTGTTTGAAGAAATAATGGCAGAAAACTTCCCTAACCTGGCCAAGGAAAACGTCACACAAGTTCAGGAAGCACAGAGAGATCCCAAAGAGGCCCACAGCCAGACACATCATAATTAAAATGCCAAAAATTCAAGACAAAGAGAGAATCTTAAAGGCAGCTAGAGAAAAGCAATGTTACCTACAAAGGAGCTCCCATAAGGCTGTCAGCTGATTTCTCATCAGAAACTCTACAGGCCAGAAGAGAATGGCATGAAATACTCAAGGTAATGCAAAACAAGGATCTGAAACTAAGACTACTCTATCCAGCAAGGCTGTCATTCAAAATACATGGTGAAATAAAGAACGTCCCAGAAAAGAAAAAAAAAGAGGCTAAAGGAGTTTATCGCCACCAGCCCAGCACTGCAAGAAATGTTAAAGGGATGCTGTAATAAAAAGTAGAAATAGAGAGAGAAATATAAGCATAAAGAATTAAAATGGCAATAGATGAGTGCCTATTAATAATAATCTTAATGTAAATGGATTAAATGCTCCAATCAAAAGATGTAGGGTGGCTGAATGGCTCAGGAAACATGACCCATACTTATGCTGTCTACAAGAGACCCACCTCAAAACAAAAGACTCACACAAGATGAGAGTGAAGGGATGGAAAAATTTTTTTCCATGGAAATGGAAATGAAAAAAAAGCTGGGGTAGCAACTCATATCTGACAAAATAGACTTCCAACTGAAGGCCTTAACTAATCACTCTTAAACATAATTTGGAGAATTACGGTCAGGTGAGTTGAGAGCATGAGCATTGACTTAAAATTGACTGTATTTTGAATAAATGGTAAAAGAACATGGTGAAAAATATCAAATAAATTGGAAATTTTACTAAATATAAACTAAGGTGAGAAGTCAGCTATATCACCAAACCCAACGGTCTCTTATAAGGCTACAGAATCAGAGGGCTCAAAGAACCCCCATTCCTGAGCCCCAGGAGTGACTCTCTAGAAGCTTCTCGGATACACCAGTGTTTAGCTATGTTAATACTTTGTTTAAGGAGATTCGATCATGTCCCTCTGCAGCTCCAGTGGCATATTTATGTGCATGTGTGGTGATTTTGAAGATATTTTATTCCTCTACCCATTCTCAAACTATGTGAAGTTTGTAGTGGGTTATAAAAACACATACAAAACAAAATGATAGCCTAACTCAATGATGGAATGGAATCGAATGGAACATAAGGGCAGAAGAGTCATTAATCAAGAGATAAAATCAGCACACCGAGTAAGCTTCCTATTATAGCTGCTGGCGGTAGGACATCAATGTGTCTCTGAGCTTCCTACCAGCCAAAGCAAAGAAGGCAGTGAGTGCATCCTGTCACCATGCAAGGACTCAAGAAGAGAAAACCAAACGAGTTATTTGGCAGAAGCAAAGCTTTTCCTGGGCTGAGACTAGAGAGGAGTTTCTCTCGTGGCTTCTCCTGAAGGGAACTGGTTGATATGGCAAGGCTGTTCCTCCCGGCATCCACAGCAGATCAAAGAACATTCCACACCGTGGGGAGGGGGGGCAAAACCAGGTGCTCTCAGCACGCAGCTCTCAGCTGCTTCAGTCACAAAACTCAAGGGACAGTGTGTCCTCAGCCAGCCCTTCATACGTGCCGTTTCTTGCTTTTGAAAAGAACTGGCTGACCAGAGAGATGAGTGCAGAAACATGAAAAGAATACATGAATAATTTTTAAAGTGAAACGATCTTGAGAGATCAAATGCTAGAGAGTCCAGTTTCTTCAATTTTCTGGTTTCTATGTTTTAAATTCAAGTTTGCCTCCGAGAGCACCCAAAGTATTGTGGGAAAACACGTATTTGGTTGGTCTTCTCTCTGGTGTTTGACTCATGCGAGGGATGGCTCCAAACTCCTTTCATGTAGTATTTACTTTATAATAAATATTTGGGTAAAGCGTTTAAAATGGTGCCTCGCACATGATAAATGCTA